CCTTGGCCGCCCTGAGGGCGGGTGGGAACGCGGTCGAAGACGCGTCTGCTGTTCGGTTCATACCTTTGGTAGACAATAGCGCTTTATGTTATTAACATGTAGGGGTTTAAAACATATGCATGATTTGACAGAACCTATCTGCTAATATATGCCTATCTGCCTGTATATATTTGTTGTATTCTCAAAAGTTAATTCCACGCTCTCACATCAAACCAACTCAATTTGTGAAACTAAAACTATAAGTTGGCATTACCAATGTTGCGTTATAACTTCTGCAGCTGTTTGCGAACATGCTATCGAAATATGGCGCAATCAATACACATTCCTTCGTCTAGCATATTTATTTGTTTTAATTTACTGAATATATCAATTTTATATCTTGTGAGGGTCACAAGGATGGCGCGGATTATTTCGCCACAACTGTTATGGCCTTGCGCTCGATGTCTGCCGCGGCTCTGCCGCCATGGGGAGTTCTATGCGTAATTGGAGGCTTTCTGTATCATTTGGCTTTAGGTTACTTTTACACAGTCGGTAAGGTCGGAAGTATTTCCAAATTTACGTTTTTAGGCAACATGAACCCATATGTCATTTCATACATGGGAATAAAGTCTAGTCAAAGCGCCTGGTTTTCATCCGTTATTCTAGCCCTTCAAGCAGTTTCTTTACCTGTCGGTGGAGTGATGGCAAACAAAACAAACTTTAGAATACCGCTGATACTTGGAATTTTATGTGGCGGGTAGGTCCATCAACTTATAAGGCTCTTAACGTTTATATAGCTTCCGTTTGTATGCCATAACGCTGAGCTAACATGTTAAAGAAGCAGTTCCATTTTGCTTGTAGTACTTTTCGGTACCTGCCAGCTTAGATAAACAGAAGTAACTGCCATTAGTTATAATTAATTTATACATTAATCACATCTAATACGTATGGAGATACTGATCGCATTTGTATATGTTCTTTCTTCATTGCTTCACTGCTTCGTCCTCATGCATAAGAGGTTATTGTTGAGGCTATTAACATGTACATATTTATGCCAATTGAAAATACTAAAACTGTTAATGAGTTGTCTCTAAGCGCTCTGCTTCGAAAAATGCGAGTTTTTTTTACATTAAGACTTTTTCAAGATGCAGCTGGTATTTTTGGATTAATCCTTCCGTATATTCCGCCAAGCTGCTCAATATAAGGCTTTAGCATCTTATAGGAATTATTTGTATTAAAGGTATTTGACAAAGTTAGCACTTAGTCAAAATTGAATGCTGGGAAAATGTAATCCCTAATTTATAAGCCTAAAGTCGCTTCCACATTTGTCTTCATGATATCCCAAATGTATTTTTTTAATAGTGCCGGCATAATGCTTACTTATTTCACCATAAACTACGGTCTTGGCGCCTACATTGCCACTTACTGCATTTTATTTGGAATTGGAATGGGGATTCCCTACTCTGTGATTTTCCAAGTCGCGTCCTCCGTACGTTCCTGTATAAGTGCCTTTTATGTGTATTGTTTTCAAAGGTTTGTTTTTTTAACTCAGGAATAGCAAAATGTCTTATTTCTCTTTGTAGTGGTTCCCTGCCCATCGAGCTACGGTAGTGGGTATAATTGCGTCGGGATTCGGATTAGGAGCGTTAGTTTTCACGCCAATCCAGACTAGAATTATTAACCCAAACGATCAACAGCCAATAAAAGGGTAAGTTGAATGGATAGTTTAAATTTTTTATATATTGTTTACATTTTCTACCAGCGTAACCGTCTGTTTCTGGGCTACCTTCAGAATGTATCCACCTGAGGTCGTAGAGAGGATTCCTCGCGCATTTCTCGTTCTTGGTGGGCTAGTTCTTGGTCTTGAAATTACGGGGTTGCTTTTAATGCGAACGTGTCCCGACGTGAGTCTGTCTTTAAAAATTAACCCAACAATTGTGGCTAAATTTCTTTAATTAAAAAAAAACTTTTTATTTTAGTCCCGCGTCCAAGACAAGTTGAAGCGAGCCAGGTAAACGTGTTTCCTGTTGCAAATGCCTTTGTCCGATGCAAAAATAATGGAGATCGTACTAATTGCTTTTGTTCTAATTTTAGTTCAAAAAACAGCAATGTCACAGAAAAGGGAGAAAATGAGGAGCTTCAGAGTCTGTAAGGAATTATCCACTTCGTTTTACTTTAAAATGTATTCCTCATTTTTTAAGGGAAGACAATTCCAAATGCGACACCCCACCTGTTGAACAGGAAAGTTTGTCTATCATGGAGGCCATCAAATGTGTGGATTTCTATATTTTATTTGGCGTAGTCTTCTGTGACGTCATACCAATCAGTCTCCTCACATCCACTTTTAAGGTGATTTTGTTTGCGTATTCCTATTTTTGATGAAAAGGATTGGTGGGATGAGAATCATAATTAAGATTTTATGCTGTGGACAACACGTCCATTCGTTCGTTAATCTTTATCATTAGAGTACTTTCATCCGCTGCTTTTTTGTATTTTAAAGTTTGTAATCCTTATTTTATTTTACTTTGATTCAAAGTTATGCATAGCGGTATAGAAGAAATGCACGCCTCTTAAGTAATTTATTATTATTCGTTTCGCTTGTCGACGAGTGAAATAATTGACTGGACTATCACACCTTTCTCCTTAATACTCGGATTTTTGAACAGCTTTGTAGCTAGTTTATGTGCATGTTCTGTCAAACACACTAGCAATGAATCTGTATATATCGGAACAAAACAGTCCTAAAGACTTTTATTCACCTTTTTTATATTCATATAATATTCCCCTTTCTTTAGCTTTAAATATGTATATGGTTGTCCTAGGTCTCAAGGCGCCTCTCAATTCCAAATTAGACAGATTTTTTATGAAATTAATCACACTGTATCGTCCATCTTTGACGCGCTAAGCAAACTTCTGTATCTTTTAAGGTGTACGGGATCGACAGTGGCCTTAAGGATAAATACCTATCTGACATTGCAACAACCTGCGCCGCCTTCAATTGCGTAGGCCGAGTTGTTTGGGGCTCGCTCGTTGACCACTGTTCGTCTAAGGTAATGTCAATTTTTACCCCCTTGTGTGGGCTTTATTTGCGTGCAATACATTTCACGGTGCATGCAGCACCATGCATTGTTTTGTGTACTTGGCACCGGTCAAGCAAAAACTGTCCTGTACGTCCGCATACTTTGTAAAAAGAAACACATTTTTGCGATTTTGTGCTGTTTACTTTTTGTGTTTACCTGAAAGACTTCTTTGACTAGACTTTTCCATTAGCCACGGGGCATTCTTTGAATTGATTGGAGCAGATTTGGCCACGAGTGCTGTCCGTTGTCATTTTCACTGAACTTCTTGGAGTTCATTGGTGAGCAGGAGGATTATAAGAGGGTAACAATAACTGCCTTCTCCTCGATACTTCCTATCCCCCTGTTATAAAAGGTGGATTGTGCATTAGAACTGTCCACTTAATTAGGACGCTTACTTATGTTAAATTGTCTTGATTTTCTTTTTACTTTTGCACCTTAAGGGAACCATGTAGTAGATAGACTGCACCACAACCATTAAGACTAGATCAGATAAGGGTACGCCTAAGTGGGATTACATATCAACGACCACATACGGCGGAGGTATTTGGTGGCATGCCCAGGCGCAGGCTCGCACCCGGCTATTCAACTGATGAGAGAATCGAGAATGATTTCGAAACTGAGGTACTGCGCGTTTTTGACTCTCAACACTTTTTGTCTGACTGTAAATAAACAGGCATGCCTGTGACGTCAGATTGCTTCTGAATGTGGCTTAATGGCAATCCCACTCAGTTGCTCTGTGAGCCGCAGACGTGCGTTCCCGTAAACTCCGCATTCAATGCCCTTCATCGTGTACCTGAACTCTGACTCCTTGAGTCTCGAAAGCTTGCCTTCGAGAATTCGGCGCGAACCATACCTCGGTTCAACACAGCGACTGCAAAACAACTAACGTTTAGTGACAGTTGCAGTTGAGATTCTTATGAGTGATCGAGCATCTGACAACGCTTCATTTACGCTGCCTAAAGAGGAGACTAAGTCCACTTTTTCGGCAGCAATGCCATAGGTCACTACGCTCGTTGTTGGACTGGAGCGCAGCGCGAACGAGTGTTTTAGGACAGCTTCTGAAGATTAATGTGTTACTCTTATGCCCTTGAGTCGAGGTTGTATGGGTTTATAGAATTCCTGTTGTGCTCACTGGCTTGCATTAGTTGAGACCAAAAAATAGAGGCTACGCCTGAAAATGCCAGGTCTACCTTTTAGGCACAAGGCTGTCACAGGCCAGCGAAGCCCCGTTGATAAGTTTGTGTTATCTGTTTTTTTTTCTTGTATTTATTGTCTCGTTTAAACTGTGATTGTACGTAAAACTCTGTACAGTGTCCTCTGCTCTGGCTTCTCCTTCAATGGGGCCTCCTGTTTGTGTCCTATCCCTACGTCGCCGCTGGGCCCGCAGGCCCCTACCTATACGCCATCTGGATCTTCGCAATCTTTTTCACCCTCTCCGGTCACTTTGTCATCGTACCTGCTGCATGTACACGCAGTTTCGGACCAAAAAACATGGCCACAATCTACGGCTTGGTGTATGCTGCAACGGTACGTCAATGCCGCTAAATATACGGGTACATACCGTGGTAGTGGCTCAATTGGTTAGAATCGTGGACTTCTTGTCAGCCACCTGGGGTTGGATATGGTTGGCTGATGACAGTTAACGTGTCAGAAATGGCCCTTCCAGTGCCCTTTGTCTTTGTCGGTAGTGTATTTCTGTCCATATATATGTATATGTTTCAACGAAGGAAGTTCTTTGGGAAACGATAACAAAAATTTTTTGTCTCAATTTTCAACGTTAGTTCCCCGGATCGTCGTCAGCACAGTTAGAATTTTTAACCTGCCTGAAAAAGGCAATAATACCAAAAAGCTAGCGGACCCTTCCCTAAATTAAAAACACGTCCAAATTCGTTGAAAAACACCTTAAGAAGCCCCAACTGCATGTGACACAATAACCATCGACTTCATTGCGAAATCAGTTTGTACACCCTAAGGATAGGGTTGAGCATTTGGAACGAAAAGTAGTCGTTTGCAAGATTCTCTGTGGCCAGAGGCAGTGCAGTGTGTTGTAGTCGACCTCCATACGCCGAACAAGAACACGAATTGGACTTGCTTACACTAGAAAATGGGTACATATTTGCATAGGACCAAAATCGCATTCTTGGCTCCTATTTAGCTACTAAAGGCTGCGAATATTTACAGGCTATTTACTCCGATAACTCGTAAATTACTCGGCACATCGAATTCGATGACGCGTACGGCAGCCTCAAAAACATGGAAAAGATGGCAGGCAATCCGGAGGAGATTCTAAACGACAGAGACAGCTACCGGAAAGAAGGACTTGGGATTATTGTTTTTTTCCGGCAGGTTTAAAGCCCTCCTCGATTTGCAAATTCACTGCGCATCGCACGACGTTTTTGGAAAACCAGAGTCAGTACTTTGCAAAACGTTTGGTATCGTTTCCCAAAAAACCTCCTTGAATTATACTTCTTGGGATGCCCATTTTGAAATTCATACATAAGTACAGTATGGTGAGGGCTGCAAGCAAATGCCGCCATTTGCGACTGGTAATTACTCGACAACCAACGTTAAGTAGGGTTGCGATACTAATTATCTTGCAGTCTAATCTCAAGTCACGTCAGGATGCCGGCTTTTTAATGAGCTTCCTTTTGACCGCTTATAAAATGTAGATTATGAAAAAAACGACTACTTAAATAGTATGCATTTTTATCATGGCTTTTGACTGCCTTTATAAATTCAAATTTATTCTATAGAAAACATGCACGAAAATAATTTTTCTTAGGCTCGTTTGGAAGGAAATTACGCCTTTTTTAAAATTTTGTACTAAAAGAAAAGGTATCCTTTGATTTTAGAAAATATCTAATTATGAGCTTTTTTACGACTGTGAGGTGTTCATGAATAATAAATTGTACCCGTCAATTTATGATTGCTTCCTAAAATGTGTACAGCATCATCCACATTTATTGCAAAGTTAAATGAGAAGTATGCAAACTCTTGATCAAACTGTAAGCAAAATTTTTTTTCTTCAAACAGAATGTATACAGCATGTTGTTTGGAAACCTTAAATTCAGTTGTAGCAGTTAGTAAATTTCAGAATTTTTCGACAATTAGAAACTTTTCAAAACCGAAAGATACTTTTTCTTTAAGTATACAATTTAAAGAGCGCTAATTTTCGACCAAATGAGTACAAGCAACAAGTTTTTTTGTTTATGCTTTCCATAAAATATATTTGAATTTATATAGGCAATCAAAATCCAGGATTTAAATGCATGCTTTTTAAGTAGCCACTTTTTCAGAATCTAAATTTTAAAAGCGGTCAGAAATAAGCTCACTAAAGACTCGGCCTCCTGTCGTGACTCAGAAGACTTGAGATTAAACTGCACCATAATCAGTATTGCAGCCCTACTTAATGATTTTTTGTGTTTACCAGTCTTTCGCAAATTACGGCACGTTGCTTGCACCACTCGTCATACTGTATATATAGAAGTGTAAATAACTACTCACCGATTGGTCACGGGACTCACTCGTCCCATTGCGCCTTGCGGCTGTCTCTCGAGCCCCTTTAGCGACCACGCAGCGATTAATGATTAAAGCAGAAGGACATTAGTGAGGAAGGCAAGGGAGACTGGAGTGGCCATTTCTGGATGACTCTGTTCAGTGAGCGCCCAAATACCACCGATGGCAACAAACGGAACAACGAGCCTCCGAGACTCAAGGAGTAGGGGATTGGACCTCTAACTAACTGGCGCGGATTCGAGCCTAAGTTGTTGTCTAACGCCCTTCTGCATATTCAGTATGTAACCTGTCTCATAAAACCGGGGAAATTCAAATTGAGATGATCACCTGTCGGCAATTTGAATGCTGTGCCTTATATTTATTCGACTAGCCCATTTCGAAAAGTTTGTATTTTGCACACGCAAAATATAATTATAAGTAATTAACTCAGTCAAAATATTCACCAATTGAAACGGAGATCTATGTTAAACTGCGATGTCTGCCGTTTCCTACGCAAAGGCTAGCTTTTCCATCTCATGAGACGTCTACCGAAATTCCAAAACGTGTCTTCAAATCGAATGAATTACTTAGTTAGCGTTGTGATACGGACTATCATACACCCTAGTGTCAAGATGTTTCAGTTACGGTAGGATGCTGACTTCTTTTTGAGAGACTGCAAAATAAGAACACTGTAAAAATTAGCTACTTAATTAGTATGCACTTTTCTCATTGATTTTTACTATCCTTATAAGTACAAGTATATTGGATGAAATGCACAAACATATTCTTTCTTGTATGGCTGTGGTAGCAAATTACATGTTCTTTAAACTGTTCACCCCCATAGGCAGTTGCGGAGCGATATGTAGAATATGAAGCTAAGGTAGAACCGACAAATACAATTTGTATAAAGCTACATCTACGTAATGTTTTTTTATTATACTGGTAGCACAGGTATTGGCTAAAAGTCCAGGCACCCATGTTTCGCAGATAGTTGCTGCAGTGCACAGCTGTGAGGGCTTCGGCTCATAGTAGTTTATACTCTTGACCGCCTGTAGACCATTAAATTAGTATTACGCTGTTATCCCACATTTGATGGTATACTTTCACCCTCTATTCCTGGCACATATGGGCCTACGCTTAAAGCTGCTTGAATATACCGTTCTACGTCAGGTAAGAGATTCATTTCCGAGGGAGGAAAGAGGCTAAAAGCGGATATCTTCGACTCTCTTTTCCTTCATTTTGCTCAAGGATTTTTAAAACTATTCAGCCCCAAACAGTAGGTCACAAACTGCTGTCATAATGCGCCCGCTCTGCTTCT